TTTCCTAGGTGGCCTCTTTCCCTTCTTTTAAAAATATTTATAAAAGGGATCATTAATTACAATTAGATGCACACAAACCACTCCCTCTCTAGTTACCTTATATACACAGGTTTGAGATGCTTTGGTGAGCACTAGCTATGGAGCTGGGGAGAAATAGAGCGGAGGAAACACAAGCCAATGTTCAAATCACATTAGAATATTCTGTAACTCTATGGTCACTAGAAAGAACACTTTTAACAGAGGAAGATAAGTAATATAAGAGTGAATGTACAGCAAGGTGGATTTAATGCAAAAACAGTGTCAGTACAACAATTTAATCAAGGAAGGATAGTAGCACTATAAAGTAATTGGTAGGGCAACCCATACCAGGAACTATCCAGTATTCTACTTAGCTGTTATTACAGGAGGTATATGGCCAGATTTTGCACCATGACCCAGGCTGTTTTGAGTAAAAATGTCTTAAGACAGTCTTGAATAGAATAATTTTAAGTATTTTTTCTGACTTAAAAATGTAATTTACAGTTGGACTTCATTCATTCTTAGAATAAAGGCTTAATGGAAAAACTAACCACTTAGAAAAGCTGAGTTCTAGAAATGGTATCTAGGGGAGAATAATTCATTATGCTGTCTCCAATCAGGAGAAGGATACATACTGGATTTAAAGGAGGTCTTGATCTGATGAAGTCGAGGATGATTTCATGAGCACTTTTTTTTAACCGAGGGGGAATATCACCGTTCACCTAAAAGGAGACAAAAAGTAGAAGACCCAAGTGACTATAGGATCATCATTATAAGTTTCTGGGTACAGCTGCTATCTCAAATATGTCACAAAATTAGTGAAGTGTAATCTGGTTCTAACAAGGATGCATTTAAAACCAATAAAGTGGGAAGTAAATGGCTATGTGATTGAGAGCAAAAATAACTATATGAAAGGAAATAATATTACTTCCAACAAAAAGTTTTTGGAATTATGAATGTGAATGGAATAAATAATTGTGCTTATTAAGTATTTTATAATTTAAAAAGCCTTTCACCTCTTATTTTCATCCTTGTAAAAAACCTAGGTAATGGGAAAGGCTGGGGACATGATTCGCATTCTGTAAATGAAACTCAAGTGCAAAGTAGAGAGGATACCTGCTTACATGCACAGCACTAGTAAACAGAGGAGTTATTGTAAAGTCTTGCTCTGTCCCTTCTACTCTAATGTCCTCTCTTTTTAAAGCAATTTATGTTAAAACATATTTTTTGAGAAACGTTTTTTAAAAAACAGAAAAAAAAAAAAACAAAAAAAAAAACCTAAATTCTGACCACCCAGAAGGCACAGTTGTGACCATTTTGTCATATTTGTTTCCCAGTTTTGTTTGAACAAAATAGAACGTGATCTTCCACTTCCAGGCCAGTCCCCTCTCCACTTGTGACCACTCCTACCCAACATCCGCTCTTCTCTTCTTCCCTGTGCCCCACCCCCCAGCCCTAGTAGTAACATGGCCCTCTAGTAAGCCTTAGGAGCAAAGCTAGTGCTTCTTGGTCTAAGGAGGGCATGCAACCTAGAAGCAGAACCAGAGGACTGACATGGCACCACTCCCCAACTGTGGATTTTATGTTACATGAGATTT